TGAGGGATTGAGTCGCAACGAGTCATAGTTGAGAAACTAAGTTATGAGTGAGTTAAAAGTTGAAGGATTAAAAAATTAATTTTTTTATTAAATAATAAAAGCTAATTATGACATCATAAAAGAGCCTTTGGGGCATGCCAAATAGCCTAAAAATTGTAAGCCCACATATGCACAAAAATAATTTAGCCTAATTGCAAGAAAATAAGTCAACTCGAAACTTTGACTTTTCAAAATTATTAACTTATGCAATTAATTATTCTCAATCTAAAAAGAGTTTGAGAAATATAGTTAGACCATTATTCTTCTAGACTGAAAATGCACCTTAACTAATTTTTTTAAAAGTCTAATTTTATAACCAAAATACCTCTAATGCACAGAATCCTACATTTAGGTGATTTTTCATAATTAATGCAATAAGTGTGCAATTTGGGTGAATATAACATGATTTTTGGTCAATAATAATAAGGAAAGGTGTGTAATAAGTTTGAGTTTTCACACTACTAAGAACAACGTCAAAGCCATTGCTTAAAAACTCACTTGTCAAAACTGAGTCTAAGACACACCATAGAGAAGTGCACAAGGTCAAAACGAGACAAGTCACATGGGAGGCTAACCAAGTGTCGAAACAGTGATGACAAAAGACATGGTTACATTTGGTATGCAATCAAAGTGAATCTTGGTGAGTGAACTTGCTCAAGCACACCACACAATCCAAGGGGATTCATTGGAGAGGGCTAGCTATTTCATCAAACCCATTATCAGAGATTCAAGACAAGCGAGAAAGGAGAGAGAAAGAGAAAGGAGAAGAGAAGAAATCCTAAAGAAACCTTAAAGTTTGTTGGAAAATAAAATGCGCCAAATGTGACTCGAGATTGAGCATGCTGAGAAATTTTGGCATTGATGTCAATTAGAAAATCTATTGCCATATCATTGACATCCACTATGTACAAATTCCTAACACCTGCGACTTGGTTTCCTCGTCAGTGGTGCTCAGCTAAATCTATGTGGGAGATCTCTACACTTGTAGGAGAGGCACATACAAGTGATCTTTTTAATAAAAGAAGAAGGCTTGAGGAAGGAAGAAGATAGAGAAGAGGAGAGTGAGGAAGGAGAAGGGCTAGAGGATGATTGAGGAAGAGGAAGGTTGCAATTGTTTATTTTATTTTATTTTTAATGACAAATGTCTACCACATGGCAAATTAAGAGGAAACAAACAGTCAACCTTGACAAAAGGGTAAATTTGGACCATTTTTAAAAGTTTTGGGGCAACATTACTCCATTTTCAACACTTTCGAGGTAACATTACTTCTTATAAAATGTAAGGGTACCTAGTACTTTCATTTTGAAAACTTTTGAAACATTTTTTCTTCTTAACCCTTTATTAAACTATAGGTCCAGAGTATTCAGAATTTAAACTCATTTTGGATGCAATTTTCCCTTTCAACTCTTGAAAACATTACAATGTCAATCTTATCATTAATAAAAGTTAATTTTGATTACCTGTTAACTAAAAAATGACCTAAAAATTACAAAAAAAGACTGAAATTTTACAAAAAGAAATTACAAACAATGACTCAAACAAGTATAGAAAAAACCAAATTTTTTTTATTTTTCTATAATTTTATGGTCAATCAAAGGTCAAAATTAATATTTGTTAATGGTATTGTATCATTTTCAAAAATTAAAGAGAAAAATTACATCAAGAATAAGTTTAGGATCCTAAATGTTATTGAATTTATAGTTTAGGGATAAATTTATCATTTAATCCTTAAAAAAATCATCACATAAGTGGTGAGAGTTGAATTTAACTACTTTTTTCTAGGTCTTCACTCTCTCTCTCTCTCTCTCTCACACAAGGCTACTTTTTTCCTAGGAGCAGTCTTGGTCCTTTATTTTAGTCTAACATAATCTCTGCTGTTCACACACACACACACACACCAAGCTACTTTTTCCCTAGGAGTAGTCTTGGCCCTTTATTTTACTCTAACATAATCTCTGTTCATTAAAATTATTTTTATTATTTTTAATATTATATTTATTAATATAAAACAATTAATCTAAATCTGAACTCTTTAGAGTACATTGAAATGGTAAACTTATAAAATTTATAATTTTTTAATATTAAATTAAATTATTCAGATTATATTTGAATTGTTTAGAATTTATTTAGATAGTTAAATTGTAAAATTATAAAATTTTTTAATATTAAATTGGACTGTCTAGATTAAATATGTAATGCCATATTAGTAATGAACATAATTATTAAATTTTTTTATATATTTTAAATAAATTTTATTTTAATAAATATAAAATAAAAATAAAATTTTTTAAAGTTAAATGGTCCAAATCTCATGAAAAATGAAATGATGAGTATTATAGTGCCATTCCTTGATAAATATTAAAGATTTTCCATATTTAATATTAAATTTTTTATATTAATAAATATAATATTAAAATATTAATTTAAATAAATGGAAGCATTCATTTTAGAGTGAAATAGAGAGTTAGGATTGCTTTGGCTTGATGAGTACCGTTACACATATACACATATATATTGAACAAATTTAGTGTGGATGTTGGGTGAGGTGGGGTTGTTGATTGAATGTCGTGTAATGATAATAAGAAATAAGGATACAAAGGATGGGGAGAAAAAGACGTATGAAGCTATGGGAGGGAGGCCTCCAATGCTATGCAAGTGCCAAGTAGACGGGTCCTAGCCTTTTGATGATTATTAATGATTTTTTTGATTCTATGTACCTCTCTGAATTTTATTTGCAGTGTGGTCCTCCTTCTATACCTACCTGCCTCATGCCCATGTGCCTACCATATCTCCTCTCCCTCTCCCTCTCCCTCCCTCTCTGCTTTCTCTCTCTTTCTTTATTCCGTGATTAAAGTTTATTTGTACAATGTGAATCAGCTTGGTTGCTTGGAACCTATTATTGATCTGCTATCTTTTCTAGTGTTATCAACCCTTGTTAATTTTTGAAGACAACGAAAATGGGGTGGAAGATATTTTTCTAATAATTTTTTTTTTTTTATTTATAATTTTATTTTTTAAACAAGGATGCTATTTGCTGGTGATAAAGATTACAAGAGGTCTATTTACAATTAAATATAATAAAATGACAACTAAAATGTCATTTTGCCAAGGAAGAGGTGCTTAACTTAGCTAATCATGGAATATACAATGATGCTATTAAATGTTAAATCACTTTCAACACGTTTAACGTGAATTAAAGAGCATCTTAAATTTTATTTAAAAATTTAACAATTTTTTAATTTTATATTTTTATTAAATATACATATATTTTAAACAAAATATTTTAATATTTAATAATATTTTCAACATTTATTAGGTAAAAGGATAAAATTAAACATAATAAAAAATTGAACTCCCTATAATAGGACCGAAACAAACGACACAGGTTCTCTGCGCTGTAGGACAATGTGTATATCAATTTGTATTGTTCATAAATCAGGCTCACATTGAATTTTGTGCAGTCAAAAAATTTTACTCCCACCTAATCTTGAATATTTCCTCCTTTACATAATATGGATGACATTTTAGATTTAGATTTATAAGAGTTTTTATTTCAATATAGCAAGTGATTTGTATTAACTTTAGGAGTAATTAATGATTTCTTTTCCTAAGACACCCTTGATAATGATATACTAGTATTTTACGGTTGATTATGACATTAATTATATGAGGGGTTATTATACTCTTTAAGTATTGCTTATAAATCAATTCTAACATGTTCAATTAAAATTATTTTTTTAAATTCATTAACTTTGTTTACAAATTAAAAAAATTAATCTTTTTAATTTTTTAACTTTTAACTCACTCGTAACTCAATTTTTTAATTATGATTCGTACATAGTAATTCAATTCTTTAACTATAACTTGTAGGAATTAAGTCCTCAACTTTTGACTTGCTTATAATTTGGTCCTTATTTTACAATTTTTTTTACAAAAATTATTCTTATCAAATAAGAGGGATATAAGAAATGCTTATATCTTGCTCTAAAATACTTTTCTCTTGTTTTTAATGTTGGATCTAAGCTAACATAAAAAAAAAAAGAACTAACAAAGTTGGGAAATTGAGTGATAGACGGGTCAAAAATTGAGGGATTGGATCCTAGGCTAATTAAATATTAAAAAAATTAAGTTATAACAAGTCATAATTGAAAAATTGAATTACAAGTGAGTTAAAACTTTAATGATTTAATGATTAATTTTTTCTTAAAAATTTAACAAATTTCTAACTTTATCCTTATTATTTTAATAACATATTTTTTCTCATCAATATTTAAAAAAAAAGGCAAGAAGTAAAAATTAATAATATGATTTATAAATAGAATAAAATTCTATTGCCACCTTATAAATAGATCAATAAGGAGTATTTAACAATTCATTAAAGGTTAATTTGGAAGGAAAGAAATGTTTCAAAGACACCAAATGTTTTTTTAATCACAAATATTACTCTAATTTTTTTTATAAGTCATCTCTATTAATCTCATCAATATCAATATAAAAAAGTATAGAAAATAAAAGTGTGTAAAATTTTGAATATGTCTTTATATAATAAATTTAAAAAGTAATATTATATTAATTTTTTTATAAAGGATAACTTTAAAAATATTTTTTTAGTATTATTTAAAAAATTATATCATGATTTATAAATAAAATTAAATAAATTTTATAAGATGTGACCGATAAATTGGAACAGGGTATATGATTTGGTTCGAAATATTGAGAAAAAATAGGCCAAAGACATAGGGGCACAAGAAAATGGTCCAGACTTATAGGCAGCAGAGCAATATGGGTAGCTTTAGCTTTCAAAGCACAGTGCTTGATCTCTCTTGTGTCCTTTTTATCGCTGAAATTTCAGAGAACTGTTAAAACCCCACCCCACAAAAGTTTACTACCGAACAAAATCAGATCATTTGTCTTTCATGCACCACCATCATTTCTTTTGCATGGATAATGGTCCCCTCCTCCTCTTCACCAATCTTCATCTTCCATTTTCATACCCTTTAAGCTTCTTCTTCTTCTTCTTTTTTTCCCTCTCTTCTTCTGGAACCATTATTCCCCTCAACTACCACACCCTTTGTTTCGCCACCTAAACTTTAAATTTCCACAATTATTATCTCATTTTCAGAGAGGTAATCAGAAGGGGTGTTCGCAAATTTCAGAGCAGGGCCGTATATAGAAGGCAACCCTAGCTTTCGCTTTCATTTTTATAGGCCTCTCAGTTTCACTGTTCCGTTGTTCTTATTAGAGTCATTACTATTATGAAGTCCTTTTGGACTTCGAGAACTGTGCTTTGATCTTGTTTTGTGTTCTAGCTCTCTGCTATATACCCTCTCCTTAGCTTTTCCGGAAACACAAGGAGGAAGAAAAGGAAAAGATGTTAGGTTTTCTCCTGTGCTTTTGGGTTGCCTCCAGTTCCTTTTTTTGTTTTCCTATTCAGTTTTGAGCAAAAATTTAGGATCTTGTTTATTTCCTTCTTGATGCCTTTTCGAGTCCTTCAAAACAAAAGTAGTACTCTGTAGAGTCCCATGTTGGTATTTATCTTGATAGCCACTTCTATTTTGAGGGATTGAGTCCCCTGTTTCATCCATCTTAATTCTGTCTGTGTCTAGAAAGTGAAATGGCCATGTGATGATGCATCGAACTTGAAATGCTCTTGGATTCAAGCCAAGCAACTTATTCTGGTTTCTTCTCATTCTCCTTCTTCATCTTGAGTTTCTCATTTTGCTTGATACTCTTTCTTGCCTTGTACTACAACACCATGAAAAGCATCAATGGTGTTCTAAGTCATGGGACTTTGGCTCTCCTTATTATCTGCTTTCTGGGTGCAACTTGTTCTGGACAAGAAGAACTTGAAGTGGCTCCAATGGAGAAGACAGAGCTTGAAGCTCTATACTCAACCATACAAGGTTTCGTTGGCAATTGGTGGAATGGCTCAGATCTCTATCCGGATCCTTGTGGTTGGACTCCTATTCAGGTACTTTTTTGACCCACTGTACCTAACCGTACAACCATGCTGCAAAAAACAGAAACAAAACAAAAACAAAAACAAAAAAGTGAACGTCCAAGCAATTGCCTTTTCTCACTCTGCTGGGAATCAGGCTTCAACATTTCAAACCTCTTTCTGGTTGAATCTTCATATTATCATATACACATTCACCATTCATGAAATTCAGGGAAAAAATTATGAATTTTTGATGATATGGTTTAATACTTTAGTTCATTATTGATCCCTTCAGAAATTAACAGTCAAGCTTCTGTGTTCTAGCCCTACTTTTATATTTGAACTTGATGAACTTCAGCGTTTTGCATTCTACAGCAAGCCAAACAAAGTAAACGAAAAGAAAAAGTCACTTTAGAACTTCTTTCCTCAATGATACATTATCAAAGACTGCAAAATCAGTTGACCGCCACTTTGCTCTTAATGGAAAAAAATTCAGAACAGAAATTATAAATTATATTTAACCATACTTTTTGCTTGCTGAATTCTACTGCAGGGCGTCTCTTGTGATCTTTTTGACGGGTTTTGGTATGTTACTTCCTTGAACATTGGACCCATCCATGAAAATTCTCTATCTTGTTCCCAGAATCTGGAGTTCAGGCCACAGTTGTTCGAGTTCAAGCACCTAGAATCTCTATCCTTCTTCAACTGCTTTCTATCAAGAGACAAGCATCCAGTTGCTATCCCAACTGGAAACTGGGAGAAACTTTCTGGAAGCTTAGAATCACTCGAGTTTCGGTCGAATCCAGGTCTCATTGGGAAAATCCCTAGAAGTTTTGGTCTCCTCAAGAACCTCAAGTCTCTGGTATTACTAGGAAATGGTTTAAGAGGGGAAATACCACCAGACATAGGCAAACTTATGAAGCTGAAGAGGCTTGTTGTTGCAGAGAACTCTTGCAGTGGGCAGATTCCAGATATTTTCAGCAGCTTAAGTGAGTTACTGATATTGGATTTAAGTAGAAATGCACTGTCTGGGCCTTTGCCATTATCCCTTGGAAGCTTAACTTCATTATTGAAGCTTGATGCAAGCACCAATAACTTAGAAGGCAATCTGCTAAACGGGTTTGCTAATCTCAAGAATCTGACCCTCATGGACCTAAGAAACAACAGATTTCAAGGTGGATTGGTGTTGTCTATTCAAGAGATGTATTCCTTAGAAGAATTGGCCTTGTCCAACAATCCAATTGGTGGGAGCATCAGTGGCCTAAAGTGGGAAAACCTTCAGAACTTGGTCATTCTGGAACTCTCAGACATGGGATTGACAGGGGAGATCCCAGAATCCATATCAGAGTTGAAGAGATTGAGGTTTTTGGGTCTACGTAACAACCACCTCACAGGAAACCCTTCACCAAAGTTAGAAGCTCTTCCTTGCCTCAATGCTCTGTACCTAAGTGGAAACAATCTGATAGGGGACCTTAAATTCTCTGAACAGTTTTATGGCAAAATGGGTAGCCGTTTTGGGGCCTGGGACAATCCCAACCTTTGCTACCCAGTTGGAGAAATATCAACAAGTCCAGTTCCATATGGGGTAAGACCATGCCACAAAGAGGTCAAGTTGCTTGAAAATGATTCAAATTCTAAGCCGCTAAATAAATGAGGATATGAACCAGACTTCCCATTTCATGGCCTCTTGGGGATTTTCAAGCTATGAGACTAACGTATTCTGGTGCGTTTTTTCTGGTACAGTTGTGGATGATGATGGGTGTGTTCCTAAATTCTGTCAGATAGGATTTAATTACCTTCTAAACGTTACAGTAACCCTCATTTCTTTTCTTTTTCTTGGGAACTTTTAGACGGAAGTTTTATGATCCTTTAAAGCTGTTAATTAGATATGCTGACTTTGTTAAGTTAGCAGTGACCACTTGCTCTGATTCCATAAATAGTTACATGAGCTGTGCCATAGTTTGGTGCCTTATTTATCAATCATTGCATTGAATTTTTTCTTTTTGGTACAAATCATTGCATTGAAATTGGTAATAAATAAGAAGCAGAATCAGATTGATAGACAACATGCCAGGCGTAGATTCTATTGGGCCCCCAAAGAACTGATCTATCTATTTGCTGAGATGCAACACAAAAAATCTTTTTATGCTCATCAGTGTGATTGTCGATTAAATATTTCATTATTGTCGTTTTTCATATATACAAATATATCACTTTAGTATTTTAAAAACAATCGTTTTGTCTTGACCGGACAGAATATTTAGAGCTTTCGGAAGCGTAAAATTTATATGAAATCATAAAGGAATACCACCAATTTTTTTTTTTTTAGAATGAAAATGAAATTTTTGAGACGTTACTATTTTTTAATTTCCCGTTTACTTTTGTCTGATCCTAACATCAAGAGAAAGGCATCTAGATCAGACCTTGGGCAGTTTCACAGAAATTCGAGATTTTTTTATAACAATGCAAAATTAGAAAAAAGCAAAATTAATTATCAATATATAGTGTATAAGAGTAAAGTGGGGCGCATTAATTTTTTATTGTTTATTATTCACTGATGAAATTATTGATTTGTTTTTCATTTTGTTCATAACAAAATAGGTAAGTGATGACAATCTAAAAAATGAGTTGTACCTTATGTTTTTTTTTTTAATTACTTTACCACTAACACACATGAACCCTCGTTTGCTAACTCACTCGCCAGAATCGAACCTACAATCTCTGGCTTCTATTAAGATAGCTTCTATCGAGTAAGATTTCATGACATTATGATAACTTGTCATTGGCTGAGTTCCATGGGTAGGTGCTTGGTATGCTCATTAAGTTAGAAACTAGAAATGCAAATTAGTTAATACAGAGTCAAATCTCATGCACTTCTACATACAACAGTACTTCCTTCGTCCCAAAGTGTAGATTACTTTTGAAAGAGTTTTTTTGTTCTAAAATATAAAACATTTTGAGTATTTTAATGTTTCATTAAATGCATCAATTTCAGTATTACCCTTTTTCTCTCTACAATTAATCTTTGTCCTTTCTTTTTTCAGTATATTAAATAATGGGTATTTTTAAAAGTTTATATTTTTGTTTTGAAAAAATAAGGTTGTTAAGTGTATTTAATAAAATTTATTATTATTTAAAATTTTATTTAAAAATATTTTATAATTTGGGACGAAGTAGATTTTATCAACTTATTCCTTTAATTTGTAAAATTATCCTTCCAAAATTACCTTAACAAACAAGACACTTTCTAATTTGATCCCTTATCGAATTATCCTCCAAACATAGTCTGTTATACAATGAATTATTATTAACGACCATCTTATTTGCAAATAACTAAATTGAGAAATATGCACATGGAATTATAAGTTAATGGGAAAATCACAAATAAAAACTTGCGAGAATCAATGGTAATCATTATAATAATTGAGAACAGTAAAAATTTGAAATTAAATTAAAGTACCATGATCCTTTTATGCAGTTTACAAATTATCATTATGACTAAAATTAAATACCCCTTACAGCAGACAGTGTTTTAATCGAAACATTATTTTCTAAACTGCGAAAAGGACCACAGTCTTGAAATTCAATTTCAAAGTTTTGGGATTCTGAATTATTATTACTGATTTTCGCAAGTCTTTAATTGTGATTTTTCGTAAGTTAATTGAGAACAGTTTCAAGAAAAAATAAAATCAAAATATTCATTCCAGGTCAAAAATATTTTTGCGAGTAATTAACCAGCTGGGGTCATCACCAATGAAACGTTATTTTGTAATGCTTGAGATAAGACTCACGTACACTAGCTATAACTTGTAATATTTGATAATTAATTATAGCATGAATTAATTAGGAAAGGTGGTGGAAATCATAAACTGTTTACTGCTATATGATGTACTCTCTCCATCCCAATATATTAGACAAAATTATAAATAATAATAAAATTCATTAAATACATTTTAGGAAAACTATATAATAATTAGTTTTTATAGTTTTATCAAGTTTTACTTTTAATCTTTATAAATTGTTTTCAATCCTTATAGTTCCTAATATTTTCAAGGACTTGAGGAACTTAAGTCACCCAATTTTTTTGAAACCATAAGAATTGAAAATACTAAAAAAACTATAAGGATTAAAAGCAAAACTTGATAAAATAGTAAGAAATAATGATCATATTTTTCCTACATTTTACAACATTTTTAAGACAAAAATATAAAATTCTATAAAATAACTCTTCATTTGATAATCTATTTGTGAAAGAATATTAAAAAAAAAAGATAATATAATGGAAAGGGTAGTATTAGAAAAAATATAATTAGTGAAACTTTTTTTTATTATCAAAATGCTTTGTATTTTGGGACGTTGAATCCTTCAAAAATAATTTATAAATTGGGAAGAAGACATTACCTTGTTTCAGGGCTGTGCAGAAGTCTTTCAATCATGTTCAACCCAGTCTGACCCGAGAATGTTCGATCTTGTTTGGTCCTATTAAAAACTAATCTTTTAGGACTGAAAAAGACTAGAAAGACTAGACTGTTTTTTCAGATTAGATTGGATATGAGATTAGACATTTGGACCATTTAGTCAAGTTTGATCCTATTAAATTTATTTATATGATTATAATTAAATTACTAATTATTTATAATAATAAGTTAAGACTGTTAATAGTTTAATAAGTCTGGTCCCTAGTATAGTTGCACGCTCAAACTAATAATTTAATAATCTGAATCACTTTGATTGTAATTGAAGTATTTTTTTTCTTGTTATTGGAAATTATTATGGATTTACTATAATTATAAGTGTTTTTATTATCTTAATTGAGTTTATTGGGTTGAAATAGATTATTGCCTCTCATAAAGAAAAAAACCTAAGTGAGTATTGAATTAACAAGACCAGTCTCTTAATTTTATGGACTAAGTCCTGTCCTATTAATTTTTGAGTTATAACTAGACCAGACTAGATTACGAGTTACCTAACCTAGTCCTTTCATAAAAGAGATCAGACTTTATGTTAGGTTATAATTTAGTTCTTTGTGCAATCCTACATTGTTCCTATGTTTGTTGTACTATTCATGTACCATAAATAATTATCATGGTGTTGATGGGTCTATTATGGGCCGTGTGTTCCTTTCTAATTTGTTCACATTGTTTCCTTCAAACATTTTGCATGCACTTGATTCTTTGAATTCAACTCATGCTCTTGCACCAACCGAGCGCTTGTCTGAGCAGTTAGAGGCTTAGACAATTTAGTTTGGGATTTCATGTTTGAGCCTTAGGATATACAGCCACGCAACTAAGTACATAAAGTGTGTCTCGCTAATGGTATCCACAAAACCACCACATTAAGGGTTCAACTTATGCAGAGATCTAGATTAGTCTGAAATGAAGTGGACGGGTAATGAACTTAGAATATCCACACTCTCCAGGATATTGGGTGGGGAAAAAAAACATGCTTTTGCACATACGAATTTCTTCCAAACAAAAAGGTTTAGGGCATGTATGTCACGTCCAAAACGCGATTGTTTCACGTTTAAGTGCCTCGTTGGATGAACATTGAGAGGCTGAAAATCATGATTTTGAAACCCAAATCACCTTTTTGCTTAAAATAGTTATCAAACAACACACATTCTAAAACCATAATTAATTAGGAACTTTATAATCAAATAGCAAAATTTTCTAACCTACGTTTAAACCCAAAAATCATGATTAGAAAAGAACCAAAGCGTGTTTGCTTTTTGCCAATCTCAATTTTACATAAAATCAAGTTTGCAAAATCAATTATACCCAAATCTAACTTTACCTCAAATTCAAGCACGCCCTGAATAGATAAGGTCATAACATAGGCTTAGGGCTGCTTTCCGCGCAAACGTGAAAAAATAATGTTTTGGATCAACGTGATTTTTATTAAAAAGAAAAAATTACAAGGCCATCAGTAACACTGTGCAGAAAGAAACAAAAGATAAGATCCAATCAAATAACAAAAGATTATTACACACCCATTAGGTTGGTCATTAGAGATCCTCATGTCACAATTGTTATATTAGGCCTAATGAGCAAGCCAATCAGCTCAACAATTTACCTCTCTAAAAGTGTGATCTTATGATACAATCTAATCGCACATACTAAGGTCTCAAATCCTTTTGATAGTATTGAGAGAGGGTGGTTCAAAGAATGTTCATTTTGAACCAGGTTGATAGCCTCTATTGAGGAAAAGAAATCGTTAATTTAAGTATAATTTTCATCATAGCATATATTGAGTATTTAAGAATTCCGTAGAATTACTATTGCAGTATCAGGTTGGCAGCCAAAAGTTAGAGATACCCTTGATTCACATTCCTTGATTATCACGAACTAACCGTTTGGGATGTGAATTCAAACACGTCGCTATACTACTCTAATGAAAATCGATCATGTCATATATACACGTGTAAGATATTCAAAACAAGTTTTGACAGATGAAGAAATTGATGGATGAATAATATGCACGCATGCATGAAGGAGGCTTGTGAATAATATATATGAATAGTTAGATGTCATTATCTGGTTGACATGGTTCGATGAGAGTGATGCGATGGTGTGGTTCCAAAATGGATGCATGGGGTCAGGAACTTACATCTGAACCTGTGTTCTGTAACTACTTATCACTGTTCATCATCACATCTATCCTTGTTTTCATGGCACTTTCAATCCCAATCATAATCCTCATGATTCATCTCCAACTCAAATATATATATATATATATATATATATAATATTCTTGAACCGCCCTCTTTGGGTGAAAACATGCCTCAATAAAATCTTTGTCAGCTTTATTCACCCATCGTCTTCAATCTAAAGCTAAAATCTTATCTGCTTACTATTAATTAACCCTATTGTGCTCAACTTAATTCAAAGGGTTTCAATTAGTGTACTATTTAATTTGTTTATTTACATGTGCATGCATGCATGTTACATTAGAATGGCTGATTAATTCTTTTTATTTTACCA